AATATCGATGAAGTGACAACCTCCATGTATCTTCAAAGTTCAATGAGGTGTATTTAGAGGTGGTAACCTAATCATTTAGAACGAGTTTGAATTGTATCAATTCAAATCAAATTATTTTAGATTTAGATTGTATTCAATCAAGATTTAATTTGTATCAGATCAAATTTAAATTTAATTCAATTCAGGTCTAGTGTAAATTGAGTTGAATCGTGTATTGAATTGGATCAATATCGAATGGGCCGATTTTTGGGTTAGGTTCATGATAAATCGATTTTTGAGTCGAGTCAATATCCGATCATTCAAATTTTGAGTTTGTTCAATATCAGATCAATCACTATTCAGTTTGTGTTAATCTTTAAATCTTCGTGACACCTTTGGATCTTCGAGTCAATTCAGATTAAATTAGGTATATTTCAATCAAATATATATAAAACTATTGATATATTCTTATAAAAAAATATATTTTTGTTTGTTAACCTTATCATTTGTGTTTAATTTCAACTCGAAAACGTTTAATGTTTCAAATTCAATTATTATTTAGGAATGACAATTTAACTTGACCCGGCCCTGTGAAATGTATTAGAGTTTATGACTTTACTTTATATTGATCTAACCCGGACAATAGAAATTAGTGTATTAGATATAACAGTAGTCTTTTAATCGAGAAAAAAATGAAATTGAACCATTAAACTACTAAAGATGATGCTTAACGAATAGTATAATACAAAAGAATAATAAAACATATACAACTTTATTATTTACCACAATGTTAAAAGATAAATAATAAAAATAATAATTTATTCATTTAATTTGACTTAATTTTTTGATTAAAATTGAATCGATCTTTTGTTTGGATCATGTTTAGATAAATTAAATTTGGCGTACTTGCTGTTTGAGTTATTTTCCATCCATTTTGCTTTAAGTTCAAATCAAATTAAGTATGAAGCCATCAGTTTAATTAAAATCCGACTTATTTTGATTCATTCAATTTATTTTAGGTTTCGGATCAAGTTTGGGTCATCATATTTAGAGTCATATGAAATTTCATATTAAATAAATCAATTTGAGTATTTAAATTCAGATAAAATTTACGAAGTGTAGGTGTATTTTATGCAAAGATGGATTGGACTGATAGTTAAGCAACCTGATCTTATTAGCAACGGGATGAGTTGGCATGAAGCAAATCCTTATATTCTTACAACTCCTTCCTCTATTTGCATGAAGAAAAAAAGATCATTTCACTCGTCAACAACTCAGAAATAGAAGCATATTTGTCATTAAAAATATAGGCTCAACTATCTCATGGTTGGAAGCTCGGCGGTCGCTGAAAGATCGATCGCGGTTCTTTACTCTAAAATTAGGGTTTAAATATATTTGTTAATTAAGACTTTTGGGCTTTTAAGGCTTATGTGACCGAGTTTGAATGTGTTTTAGGGTAAGTTGGGCTGTTTTTTTGTTTGTTTGGATTTAGCTAAACAAACCTGCTTTATTTGAGTTGGTTTAATTGGATATTAGTTTGGTTGTAGGGCCCCGGACATAATTAAACTATTACTTGTGTAACAGAGTTTGAGCATTGATATTTGAGGTGCTAACAAACATCTCCACCAATTTGCTTCATTGGTATTTTTTTTATAAAAAAAATAGATTTAATGTAACACACACATATAGATTATATTATTTAAATTTGAATTATAAAAAATATAAAATTTCTTTAACTACCGAGAAGGGTTCTTTATTAGATTATTAGATACATCTACATAATGATAATAACAAACAAAATATTAATTGTATAAAACAAGGAAATATATCAAATTATTTTAGTTTTACATTGTAAGGGAATTCATCCCTATATAAATGATTTCAATAATATCAAGACCCTTTCCCCACCTTAGTTCTTGAGTCTCTATATCATTAATTCCTTCATTGTGTTGCCTTTTTCTTATGTCTAATTTCAAGGTGTATTGCCTCAAAAAAAATCAAGGTATTATATGATTAATGAATTCGAAAAGGTTTTATTATTAAAAAAATTTAATATGTGTATTAATACTTTTAAGATTCAATTAAAATATGATAGTACCCAATCTTAGGGGTTTTTGGCCATTTTTGGTCTGTTATCTAGTCCTTTTCCTTTAATCAGGGTTCGGTGATCAATTGTTTTATTCAGGTGGTATGGGAGATATCGAGAATGACATGGCACGATTGGACTTGGGGGATGGGGAAGAGGAAGCTCTTGTTCTTGGGCATGATTTTCTTAACCGGACCGGTTAGCGAATCGATCATGCTATCGGTTTACTGGTTTAATCGGTCGAACCTTTCCGATCGGTCGGAAGAACCGGATGACGTCATAATTATTTAAAAAATTAAATAAAAATATAAAAATATTTAATAAAAAATAATTTTTTATATCACAAGTCATATTCAAAGCAAATTATAACATATATAAGTTAAAAAATTATAAAATCAATTGAAACAAAATGATTCAAATTAACTACAACATAATATTTAAGGTAAAACATATTAAATAATAAATATAATTATATAACTATAATTAAAAAATAAATTTGGGGCTAAAAAATCATAACAAAATGATATTGTTTAGTTTAATTTTTTTTAAAAAACAATCCCACATAGCTAAGAAACATAGAATAGCATACCAAAAGTCTAAAGAGTAAAAATATGAAAACAAAATAATCCCACATGGCTAAGAAACATAGAAGAGCATCACAGCTAACTTCTATAAATAATATAGGTAATTTGACATTCAAAATCATGGAATCTTTTGTTGAGCATTGAGTGAACTATTTTTTCACTTTAATCAAGCTCAAATTTTAGGCTTCAATCGAGTTTCTAAATTATTTTTAGTTCAAGCCTTTTCGAGTTCAAGTTTCAATATTATATTTCGAGTTGAACTTGATATTTTTTAGCTCGTAAGTTTGAGTCGAGTTGAGCTTACTTTTAAAGTTTTCAAGTTCGAGTCGAGCTCAGCAATACTTGAGTTCGACTTGGCTCGTTTAACAAACGATGTTGTTTGGTTTAACTTTTTAAAAAAAAAAACAAAATTGGTGGTTTTTTCCGGTTTTTAGCCGGTCCGGTTCGAACATTTCAGCGGTTTCAGCCGGTTCACTAGTAGCGGTTCAACCGGTGTAAATTGAACCAGACTAGACAACGATTCTCGGTTGAACCGGCCGGTCCGGTCTGGTTTTCAAAACAATGTTCTTGGGCAATCTGAATGTGCGACACTGGTTTCTTTTGATTTTTGTTTGGTCGGTAGGTTTCTTACTACGGGTGATATTAATTTTTAGGCAATGAGGACAATGATGGCTAATGTTTGGCACCCTATTAGTGGCATCTCAATAACATATTTGGAGGGGGTCGGTATCTCTTCCAACTTTATCATGAAGTAGATATAGATCGTATTTGGAAGGAAGGGACCAGGTTTTTTAACTCGCACCTTTTAGTTCTTCATCGGCTATCCTAGGGTGAGGATCCCAGCATGGTGAATCTAAATACTGTAGCTTTTTGGGTTCAAGTAAACGAGTTGTCAGTCGGTTTTATCTCTGAGCAGGTTACTGTGCAATTAGGGAATTTCATTGGTTCGTTTATGGAGTTCGATGCTACTGCGATCACATTAGGTTACAGGGGTGGTTTACGAGTGCGAGTGCTACTGGATGTTCGTAAGCCGTTGAAACGGGGGGGGGGGGGGGGAAATTGCTCTCCCAAGTGGGGGGTTTTACATATTCCACATTCCAATATGAGAAGTTGAAAATGTTCTGTTTCTTGTGTGGTAAACTTGGGCACGGGAAAAGTTTCTGCCCAATACGCATCCTACAACCAACACAATAGCTGATCTCACAATGGGATGCATCACTTCGGGGCCCGCCATGGCACAGGCGTACTCTCACTAAATTTTAAAGGTTTTCAATTTTTCACATATTTTTTGTCACTGGATTTAACTTTTTCTCCTATTTTAGTTATTTCGTCATTAAATAACTAATAATATTAAAAAATGATGTCATTTAAAAAAAATTAAAATTTTCACCAAAATAACGTCGTTTTGTATCTATATAACAACCCATTTTAACGTGTTAATTATTTAACGGCCGAGTAACAAAAAAAACTCAATGTATTAAGTTCAGTGAGGAAATTGAAAATATTTAAAGCATAATGAATTAAATAGGAGGAGGATAAAGTTCAGTCACGAAATTTGTAATTTACCCTATATTAAAATAGGATAAAAATGCTTAAATAGTATTGTTCTAAAATAAAAATAATAATATCTGAGAACGGATGCAAGATTTATGCTAAGAAATAAATTTATAAAACTTTATGAGACATTTGTAAATTTTAGTGAATGAAAATAATCTATCAATAAGAAAATATAAAAAATTACTATAAAAATTTAAAATTTTCAGAGATACGATAGTACCAATCTTCCTCATTCACCCAACGTTTGTTTAGAGAGGAAGCAAGCTTGATGGTCTGTCTTACATGATAAAGCTAATATATGTTAGTAATTATTTAATGGTTGAGTTTGATTACATGCTGTCTCAATTACATTTAAGTCGATACCACCAATATCATCTATGGCTTTTGACATTGACATTTTCATGCCCACAAACAAATGACGATTCTTTTTCTTAATTAACGGTGCAACAACTCCATTCCTACATGCATGTCGAGTCATTGTGATTGCTTGTTTTGGTTGTTTTTCGTCAACCAAAACGTTGCATGTCACGTGCTATTATAACTAATATCATGTGTGCATTTAATTCATATTAATCAGTCAAATTTTCGAATTCGAATATGAATTTACATGTCTATACACAATTACTTGGTGTCTCTATTCATTTGTCGTTGGTCTTTTACAATTGTGTAGGAGGTTTGTTTACGGTTGTTTTGCTAGGCTATATATGGGTTGCACAACAGCAGCTATCATCAATAATCACCGCAAAAGCAGTTTCCATCTTCAAAGTGATGAAACACCTTGGAGTCTCCCACTACTATCTTGAGACCCTCTTTTCAAAATTGTGGCAAGCCTCGCAAATTCTAACGTTTTTTCTGACGAGAACAGGAGACCCCAACTCGGTCGAGATCAATCCGAAAGAGATGGCCAATCTCACACTATGATTCTCTGGTACATTTGGTTTCTTTCTTCTCAAATCTGTTCTTCTCAACTCGGTAATACGAGGAGCATAAACATCTTCATCTTCCGCTGTCATTTTCGTGTTGATATCCACCACGTCATTGATCATGTTCACCTGATCGTTCGACCCGTCTTGATCGACAAACCTGTGAACTTTATAGTCTTTCTCAACTGTACTACATCCCATTGTTTTTGCTATGCCTTCTTGAATTTTAAGTGTTTTGATCTTCTCTACATCTGCCCACCTCCCAGCTTCAGCATACATGTTAGAAAGCAAGATGTAACACCCTGTATTGTCATGCTCCAGGGATAAAGCATGCTTGGATGCAACTTCTGCGAATTCGATGTCATTGGCTTTTCTACTTGCAGATAGTAGAGAACCCCAAATCCGGGCGGTCGGGACAAGCGGCATTTCTTCAATAAAATGCTTAGCTAGATCAAGATTCCCAGATCGACCAATAAGATCCAGCATACAACCGAAGTGCTCTGTTCCTGGGTCAATACCGTAATCTCTTTTCATTGAATTAAAGTATTCCCACCCTTCATCGACCATGCCAGAAATGCTGCAAGCTGATAATAGAGAAACAAAAGTGCTCTTGTTAGGCTTGATACCGTTTTCTATCATTTCGTGGAACAACTGGATGGAAACTCTCCCGAACCCATGAATGGCGTAAGACACAACTTGACAGCACCAAAAAGCCATAGATTGGTTTTGCTATCAGACTCAAAACAAATCCTATCTTCCACCATAGAAAACGAACGGAAGAGAAGAAGAAGCAAAAACATCAACACCCCAATGATCAAACAGCTGCACCCCCCATCATCAGATTTCTCTTTCAAACCAAGCAACGAGGTAAAGGGTCTGAGATTCGGTGGCCAATTCATCGTAAGATCATTCACCATCAGGCGAGCAAGGCCACTTGAGCTGCTCAAGCTACTCGAATCCCCACCATTGTTCAACAAATCCAACAACAAGCTCCCTTTCCCCACGACAACCGCTTTTTTGCCCACAAATTTCACCATCTTAGCTCACCATGCTTGGCACACACTGACCCTAGGCCTTGGCACCAAGAAATCGAAAGTGGTTCTCTTCGTTTTTCGAATCGGAAGTCATTAAGTTAGGGGTGGACCTCTGGGAGAAGTTAACAAGAAGCTGATAAGGGGGTTAAAAGGGTGTGAAATGGCGAGGCTTAAGTTCAGAAAAGGATGCATTACTTTATGCGTTTATGCGGTGAGAGGAGTGGGAACCATGGGGTTTTTCTTCTGCTGATGAATAAAGTGTTCTGCACTCGGTTGTGGCACTCAAGGATTTCTTGGATCATACCGCCATACTTGCATTGCCTAACCAAAGAAGCCTTCATTATTCCCCTCAGGTTGCCATGGCCCACTAATCTTCCTAATTATATGATTGGGTATTGGTTTATTTATTGGATGATTTTGTTCATGTTATTATTGTCCTTTGAACAAATTTGTAGTATGAATAAACATTAATCTTCTTAACAAATCCTTTTCTTTTTGTTAATTTTTTTCCCTTTGAACAATGTCAAATTGGTGAAAATGATGCAATCATTCATTTCCTTTGAAAATTAGTCTTTTGGAATGAAATGATAGGAGCAGAAGTGGGGACCCAAAGCCAGGCTTTTGTAATGGTCTCAAAGCTGAATAAAAGAAGAAGAAATGTTTTCCTTTTTTTCTTGTGAGATCAATCATGCCACACAATTTGGAATTTGGCACTCTTGTTTATATATTGAAGGCATAATAATAATCTAAGATCATAATTAAAATTAATTATTATAATATATAAATTTAAAAACTTCAAATACCGATAAAGGAAAAGATTATTACTTTGAAAGGGAATCAAAATTCAAGTAAATAATTAGTTAAAGAAGCATTAAAACCAAATGAAAAAAAAACATAAAAGCTATGTACAAACATCATATAGCAGAAAACAGTTGGTCAATAACTGACTTAAAAGATTAAACGAAACAAAAAGATTTCATTTTTAGCACTAGAAGATAATTACCCAGCAAGAGAAAAGAGACTCCAAACTTTACGAAGAACTTTATGATGGGAATGGAGGAGCTGTCGGGGACTAACTAGAATTGAAGTGTAGCACAAACCCTAGGGTGGCTGAGCAAAAACCTTACTGTGTGTTTGTATATGGTTTGTCATTTGTTGTGGAGAATGAAAGATCAGCAACAAGATTTCTCTTCCGTTGATCAATCTTTTTCTGCTAAAAAAATCAGTGTTGTTATATATTGTCCATGAACTTATACAATCTTTCGCATTCGATCACATTATTGAGAAATCTGCTCTCTTTGTAGGTCATTATGTTGTGATATGTGGCTATGATGCTGAAGCAGATGAGTTTGAGATTAGAGATCCTGCAAGTTGTAGGTACTTCCTAAGCTTTCTTTTTCACTGCTTAACTACTCCCTGCTATGTTTTTTATACAATCTCTTTTTGTTTGTTCTGTTCAAGGTCATATAATCATTTTAAATAACTAAGGTCGTCATCGTTGGTACATTTTACCACTAAAGTTCATTAATGAGTATGTCCAGAAACTTAAAACAGCAGCAAATACTAGGAATGTATGCCATGACGCATTTTCCAAACGTTTTAATGTCAGGACCTATTACAAAAAATGCAAAGATTCATTTGATCGACAGGATTTGACCTGAACTCTCCTCTCTGTACCGTATCTATCTCTTCTGGCAAGCTAGAAAGAGAGTGAAAAGCTTTTCCTTCTCCCACGTTAAGTGTTGTTCCCGGATCACTGACAAGAAGTAGAAAAGTCTTGTATAAAGGAGTGTATCCTAGCAAAAAAGAAAGATGTAAAATTAATCTACTAGCGCTTTCATTAAGATTGGCTAGCTTCCATAAATGGGACCTACTGGAAAATTAACTAGATACCGATTTACAAATAAGTACGAAGTTATCAAACAATTTTAATCTTTTTCATGTCATAGTTATCATTCCTCAAAGTCGGTTTCCTCTGCTACTTCTTTGAGACTTTATATTGTTATTATTCAGCCCATATTATAAAAAATATATTGGTATACTTGTGATTACTTGCATTATTAGGTAGAAGAAAGAGTGTTCCTAAACGAAGCCCTTGTTGAAACAGCTCATACACCATCTGTTCATAACACACAAATAACCTAATACAACACACATAGGCACCAGATAATTATGGTTACAAAATGACCAAAGCACATCTCACACTCTTTCTCAGGAGAGCCACAAATAACTTTTAGATAATCACAAGACTAACTTCACACCATAGAAGCAGTATAAACAGGGATGAACCTAGAGGGTAGGTGAGGCAGTCGCTGCTCTTAAAAATTTGAAATTTTTATATATTTTAGATATTGAAAATATGTTTTCATGGGACTAATGAAACAAAAATGGCTTTGCAACTCACTCTGCACTGTATACTGCATCACCAACAGATTAACCACATAATGAAACCCCGATCCAACAAGCTAAAATCCAAAACAAAGAAGGAAGCAGCACAACTAGCGAAAAGCAAGTTAATTCCAGCATTAGCAACATTACTGAACAAATCAACCCTCCACGATCAAGCTAATCCAAACCAAAGTTCCATGACTTAACTACCACGTGACCTTGAAACAACACAAGACACTGTGCTACAATACCCGCAGCTAGAACCAGAAAACAGAGACTAGCAGTGTACAGCTAAACCAGAAATCAATATTCAAAAACTGACCGGAAAGGCATACCTGAAGAATTAAAGATCGAGACAAAATTATAGAACTATCCATCCACTTCCCACCAAATGAATGGATTGGTTATTTGTATCTCCTCTGGATGAGTCGATCACGCTCGACCAGCACTGCTTAACACCATTAATGATAAGCACAATTAATTTAATTTATAAAATTTAAAATTCTAAAAGACTCAACAAATAATTATAAATTAGTTAAAAATCTAAAAAGTAAATTATTTAAATGCATTCACTCAAGCACTAACACTATTGTCTATTTTCATTTTGATCATCATTTTTGAACTTTTGTTAATCATGTCATCTAACTATTTAAATGCATTCAATCAAGCCAATTGTCGTTAACATTGAACGGAAGTGCTGACGTGACAGTTAATAAAATTGGTATAATTACATATTTGATCTTCAATATTTATAAATTCTATCAATTTGGTCATAATTTTAATCCAATTTAATAAATTTAATCTCCAATTAGACGATTACACGTGTCACTACCAAATTGGAGAATGTTTTATAAATTTTAATTATTTTATTGGTATAATTACATATGTCACCACCTTATTTGATAAGCAAAATGCACGTAATATAATCTACTCACAAGGGGATCAAATTAATGACTTGTAGCACACCAAAGCACGCTTGAACCATTAGGCTAAGCCCTTCACTTGGTAATTGTTTACAATTTTTTATATATAAGTTGTTATAACTAATGGTAAAAAAAAGAGAGAAAGAAACCAACATACTTGTAAAGGGATTCAAACCCTATATTTGATTAAAATTTACAATATTATATATATAATCATTAAATTGAGTTTCTTTAAAAAATTTAAAATAAAATATAGATTTTTAAATTTTTAAATTATATTTATTCTATAAATATAATCATTAAATTAAAATTTTCAATATAACTAATAATTTTAATTTAATTAATGATTAAGTATAAAGATTACTAATTATGTTAAAAAATTAAAATTATTTTTTAATTATATAAAAATAAATATAGTTTAAAATATGAATTTGGTAAAATTGATTTTTAAATTTCAAATTCATTTTAAAATATTAAATTTATTTTTATACATAATAAATTTATTATTATTTTAGATCTTTTATTAACTATATTTTAAAATGTATTTATTCATAAATAACTAACTAAATTTGCTTAAATAGTTTTGGTGATTATATATTCTCTAAAAAAATTAAGGTTTGACTCATTTTATTATTTTTGTTATAATACAAGGTAAATATAATATGTTGTAAGACATGAGCCAAAATTAATTGTTGATCCAATGGTAAAAACTCACACAAAAATCTCATGAGACCCAAGTTTTATTCCCTTCAATCACTTATTTTCCTTTCAATTTGTTTTCTTTATATCATATGGTCTTCAGTTGAAAATCAAATATATAAAATGACGTAAAATATTAGTAAGTGAGGGGGTGTAGTTAGAGGTGCACAAAAAATCTGAGTATTCGATTTTGCGTAAAAAAATATCTGAAATCGGAATTTGGAAAAAATCGGTTTTTTTTAACTGGATTGGATATTTTAAAACTGGATAGTATAACCGGTTTGGAAAAAAATTGCGACCGGTTTTTTTACCGGATTAAAAACATGTTTGAAAAAAATGGATAAAAACCGGTTTTTTATCTGAAAAAATCTTGTATGGGGTTTAAAAAACTAGCCGTTAATATAACCGGTTTGGGAAAAAATTGGATGACCAGTTTTTTTACCGGATTAAAAACCGGTTTTTTTTAAAAAAAACCGATTTTTTCAAACCGAAACTGGTTACACCATCCGGCCCTCCAAACCGGTTAGGATCCGAACCGATTTTTTTAAAATCCGGTTTTTTGACTGGGTGAAAAAACCAGATTAGTTTTTATCAGATCCAGATCGGATTTAAAGTGCATGTCTATGTGTAGCCCAGTGGTTTAGGTGCGCTTTGTGATGCTTCTAAACATTGGTTTGATTCTCCCTGGTGTCACCACCTAATTGGATATTGAATTTATTGGATTGAATTAAAATTATGACCAAATTGATAGAATTTATAAATATTGAGGATTAAATATGTAATTATACCAATTTTATTAGCTGTCATATCATTACTTTCGTTAAATGTTAACGACAAGTGGTTTAATTAAATTTATTTAAATAGTTGGATGACCCGATTGACCAATTTAAAAAAGGTCAAAATGAAAAGGGAGCAATAATTAAGTGGTCAATGGTGTAATTTTCTCAAAAAAAATAGAAAATAATGTAATTATTTTTATTTTAAATAAATTACTTTTATATTTTTAACTAATTTATAATTATATGTCAAGTCCTTTAAAATTTTAAATTTTTATAAATTAAATTAATGATACTCATCGTTAGTGGTGTTTGCACGTCTAAGGTTGTAGAATTTTTCATCCCTTCTTGTGCCAGGGCTTTGGCAACATTATTCCTTTTCTTGTATTCAAAGTTCACCCTCCACAAATATCGGACACAAAAATCTTTGCACTTGACCACCAAATCAGCAAACAATCCGACTCAATGATCAAACTTCTCTTCTCTGCCCACCTGGACAACGAGAAAACCTGACAGGCTTCAAGAATGGCAATGAGTTTTGTACCAGTAGCATCTAACAACCCAATTGATAAAGTTGTTATAGTGATATATTAATTTAAAACTTTTACGGATATAATTGTCTTAATTACCCTTTCGATCCATCTTTGTGAGCATGGATGTTTAAATTAGAGATGAGAAAATAAACTAGTGTTCACAACGAAATCATTTGATGATGTAGATTCGTGAAGAGCGAGTTGAAGAATTGTTGTTTGATTCACTATCACAATTGGTTGATGCGTTATTGCAACCCATAATTATTAATAATGTCTAAATTTATGTTTTTTATGTTACTTGTAATAGAAAAATATACTAATTTAAAAGAATTAGGCACATCTAAAATATGATTTGGATTTAAATTTTAATGTCAATAACTTGAGTCTTACTCAAAAATTTTAAAGTTAAATAGAATGTTAATATATAATAAATTAAATTAAATTGAATTAAAATTAATTGAAGGAATGCTGTGGTGGGGGATATGAAAAAACCGAATGGACGGACACGTGTTTTAGCGACAAAATCTAATGTGAGAATGGGACCATGGCAACGATTATCAACAACAATAGTGTGAGTGAGACGCGGAGAACTTAGGCCCAGCCACACAATTGTTAAAACTCAACACTGCTTCTTGTCTGTCCTTGTCGTACAGCATGACTTAATACGGTAATTTTGCAGCGTGGCAATTTAATTTAAGTTAATTTTTAATTTAAAATTGTATATATAATATTTTTAGTTATCATTGAAAAGTTATATTCCGGAGATTAAGATTTATAACTGAAAAATTATGTAAATGGTAATATTTACGGTAATAACAGAAAATATTATAAAGAATATATTATTTTTGATTATAATCGGAAAAATATTATTCTGCTCAACCTAAAAAATGGTACTCTTAATAAAATTTTCAATTATAATCGTTTTCTATCACTTTTTAACCTTATATAACAAATTGTATTTTAGAATTTTCGTCCATTGCAATTTCCCTTATTTTATGCTTCCACTTTTTAATCATTTTTTATGCATTCAATCTGTGCCTTAATATTTACCAAAATATATTATATTATTTATGCTTAATTTTAATCTCGATATAAAATTAAATTTCTTTTTATATAAAACGATGGTGGAAGGGTTATTTAGAGTTTAATTTATATTTATCAAAAACATTAGATTCGACAAGGTAATCATTTATTGAGATAATTACGATAAAATCAATAATCTTTAAAATAAATGGTTAAAAAAAATCGTTGATAATTTTTTTGTTTAATTGTGGATTTAATATATATTAGAACAAAAATTCTTTCTCTTTCTCTAAATAAAAATTGTCTAAAATAAAAAAAATATGATCAATGATTTACTTTAATATAATTTCTTAATGAAATTATTGTGATGCATGACATAAAATGCAATTACGGAATGTACATTACGTAGCAATTAGAAATTGGGAGAAAGCAAATAGTAGAATATAAAAAAATTAAAATATAATTTGTTGATATAAGATTAAGAAATAATAAAAATCAATTGTAACTGAAATTTTTTTCATGAATGTAATTTTTAGATTAAAAAAATATTTTTTAATTAAAATTAACTTTAAATTAGATTACATTAGAATTATCAAAAATAGATGGGCATGCATTTTAATTTGTAAATCATATCCTATCAAATCAATAAAGCAATCAATAAACTGCCAAAATAATAACATCTGACAATGGCCTACCCATCCTTATTTCCACGACTTCTTCTATGATTTGATGTTGAGGCATCTTTTTTTCCTTGGTTAGTACGACAATTTAGCACATTTGGACCGTTAAATAAATTAATGAGTTTATATTTGTATATTATATATTAACAAAATATATACTTAAAAAATCAACTTAGTGTTAGTTCACTTTCTCTTTTTTATGTCTAAATTTGATATTTAATGTAATATAAATAAAAAATTATATACATATATTTGTCTATAAATATTTAATTCTATAAAATAATTATTTTGTGTACATTATATCATATAAATGAGAGATTAGATATAACATGAATATTAAAAGAATATGTTATCAATGTTTGAAAACCTAAAAAAATATTTATAATAATTATTAAAAATATAATAATACATAAATTTAAGATTTTAAAATAATATGAACCGGCCTAAAACTTTAAATTAACAGAAATAAGTGATTTAAATTACATAATCAATTGTATATCTTATATTTATAAAAAATAATAGTTGTTCAAATTTTGGATATAAGACCATGTGCCATGCAAATTAAAAAAATAAAATAAAAAAATTGTATAAACTCTGGTTAATACAACATATATCTTGTAGTACATCGACATTGGCTAGCCACACACTTTTATAAACATGTATATAAAATATCATAAAAAATAAAGACTATCTCATGTTATAACAAAAACCATAGGCATTGGGTAGTCATAAATTTATTTTTAAATATCTTCATAAATATTTGGGTAAACTACACTTTAAGACTTAAACTATTACTTTTATTTTGTTTTGGTACCAGATTTTCATTTTTTTTCAAAATTATATCTAACGTTTAGTTTAAGATAATGTCACATCATCATTGGGAAAAATGAGAAACTTAAATTAAATGTTAGGTATGATTTTGAGAAATTTTTTTTTATCAAAACGAAACGAATGTAATAGTTCAAGTATTAAACTTGTAGTTTACCCTAAATATTTTAATAGTTATTTTTAGCATTAAATGTCGTAGTACATCAAGGTTTAAAATTTTTTATATATGTCAACATCGATTTATTTCATGCAATAAGATGGTGGGAGTATTGTATGTTATCTTTATACGAAAATAAAATATTACATTCTTAAACAACGACAAAGGCTGCCGACAGCTGAGTCGTGTTCACATTGCCTCCATGTTGTCTTATAATTTTCTACGTCCTCCTGGAACTACTTGTTCAGTTTTCAGTAGCTGGTGTCATTATCAATGTTTTGAAATAATACATTTTGTTGCTATGTAAAAGTATGTGTAAATAGGATTAATTCTTTCGATTATTATCCGAGTTTATGTTTAATGGATTATAGTTATTAGTTTATAAAAAATCAATATTTGTTTGCTTGTCCTAAATATTTAATTATTTTTTAATAATTTAAAGTAATTATAAGAGATAATACATGTTCATAAATCTTATTGTTTATTAAAAATACATATAAAATAATATTTTCTTAAATCACTAAAATCATTAATTTAAATTATTCATTTGTTGAGTAAAATTTAAATAAAATAAACATGTTTATGTATAACGCATATGATAATCATGTCATATTTTACGCACGATTAATTATTCATGTCCCGATTAATTATCTCCCGTTGCTCTAGTTGGTGATGTAACTCGGGGTTTTGTCTATGGTTGCTTTAGCTGGTGATGTAACTCGAGTTTTTGTTTTGTATCATCACGAATAAATTAACTTTATCGTTGTGTTTCTTTAAAAGTTTATTGTCATTTAAATGAGTAAAAGTCAATTAATTAAATTTGTTTTTAATTGAATCATCCATTGAATAATATTTATCCATTGTAAATTCATAATTTAAGTCATTTATTATTTTATTCATAATTTTATTTCACGATATTAAAATTAAAATATTTAATGAAAAAATTAGAATTTAGCAGATTAAAACTGTTTGTATTATATTTAAGTAGATTGTACATATTTTAATTTTTTGATAAATTTTAAATTTAATTCTAATCATATTTAGATTAAAGAGGAATGATCGAATGAAGAATCTAAAAGAAAAAGGAGAGTGTTTTTAATTTAAATTTATAAAATATGAAAATATTAGAAAAAAATGAACAGTTTGATCAACCGATTAAATGTAGTTATTTATTTATTAATTAAATTTACTACTTCTAATTATATTTAATTTATTTATGCATCTCTTAGATTATTGATTGTTTACGGTCGTCGATTTTCCGCAAAGAATAACCGACTGATATCCCTAATATATTAGAGAGAATATATGTGGAAAATCCTATAGGAATTATTTGAAAATTTATAACACGGGCACTAAAATCCACCGGAGATTCCCCTGCACCTTCATCATCACCGGCTAACGGTTTCAAAATCACGAAAACACCCTTCCATCTAACAGCAACAGTACGTGTTACCATGTCACAGTCTGACCACCTAAACCCCAACAAACAACCTAAGAGAACATCCCTCCAATTTTTAAAACCAAAAACTCATTAATCTCAAAACCTCGCCGCCGTAGCACCCCAATCTTCTATCCACGCCGACATCGACGACGATGGGTATTCCATGTGACGACATCGTTTTAATCCAATTTCCCAGAGACCCGTCGGAGCCAACCATTGTCACCGTTAATTGCCCCGATAAGCCCGGTCTTGGATGCGATCTTTGCCGCACCCTTCTCGAATTCGGGCTTTCAATCACCCGAGCAGGTTACCTTCAATTTCTTTTAATTAAAATTTTAAATTAAATGCTTGCATAATTGATAATATTAACGTTTTGCATTTTCTCCCTTTAATTATGTTTAGATTTCTTGACGGATGGGAGATGGTGTTACATAGTATTCTGGTTGGTTCCCAGTGTTTCGAATTCGTCTAGAATTGATTGGGAAAGCCTGAAAAATAGGTTGTTGTCGATGTGCCCTTCGTGTTTGCTTCCATTTCTTCTCTTTAATTATCAGCAAGGAGGAGATGGAAATGGAGGCTCAACCCATTCTTGTTCGGTTTATTTGTTGGAACTTTGTTGCTTGGACCGCAAGGGATTACTTCACGGTTAGGGACCAAGAATTCCTTTAGTTTTACTTTTTGCTGTTGTTGATTGGTTATTTTACTATGTTTATTTAGATTAGTATGCGATTGATGGGATTCTTTTTTTTTCCCTTGTCTTGTGTATAGATGTTACCAGGATACTGTCGGACCTTGAGTTTTCAATTCAAAGAGTGAAAGTTATGACAACGCCAGATGGAAGAGTTATGGACTTGTTTTACATCACAGATGGAATGTGAGTCTTTATGTTATAAAGAAAGTTTTGGTTGAGTGAATTACTGTATGCAAATTTTGTTTTCTTTTACTTCGACTAACAAGTTTCCGATGCTTATCTGTCTTGGGTGCATACCTTGTTCTAAATCAGCTCCCATATGTCACTATGATGACTCGTTGATATGTTATATTTGTTGTTTAATTTCTGTTTTTTCACTGCTTCAATTTCTTTCTTGGACCTCTATGAATGTTGGGTTTTAGAGTAAGCTGATTTTGGTAGATTAAGATCTGTGGTCTAGTAAATTTCTAGCCTAGATCGAGATGAAGATGTGATGCTGTGGAAATTTGTGTATATACGATCAGAGCAGAGTGTTACGGTGTACTTGTTTTTATGATCTGAACTTTTGCAAAATAGGCATTCCTTTTGATTTTGGATAAGTTAATAAACTACGCTCAACAATTCAATAAGTTATAGTTTGGACTAAAAAGGTTACTTATTGACCATATGGCAAAGCAATTGATGTGCCTTCTTGTCTACTACGTTAAGTCTACTTAACCTGGTGGATTTTTTTTACCCGATCTTACTGCATAACTGTCTCGTTACAGGGAACTTTTACATACAAAAAAGAGACGAGATGACACCAAGGAGCATCTGATTGCTGTTTTGGGGAATTATTGTATCAGCTGCGAGCTTCAATTGGCAGGGTCGGAATATGACAGCTTGAAGGCATTGCCGTCTCTCCCTCCTGCAGTTGCAGAAGAGTTATTTACCTATGAATTGTCTAGCAAAGACGCCAGCTCAAAGGAACTCAAATCTGATCTGATGACACTGAAGAAGGCTACTATTACTGTAGACAATTTGTTGAGCCCTGCTCATACATTGCTTCAAATACAATGTGCGGACCATAAAGGACTTTTTTACGACATTCTAAGGACATCAAAAGACTTTGATTTTCAGGTAATTGTTCAACTTCTTTGGAGTTACTATTGACGGTGAAAAGTATCAACTTCTTATCATGAGGTACTCAAGATATTTGGAATCAAGTTAGTATTTATCAATCTCTAGATTCAAGACTCTCTTTTAGCATCTTTGTGGTGCTTTTTCTGTCACGGTTCTTTGTTGTCCGGAAAGTAATAAAAATGGGATGCTTTGATTTCTCAGAATTTACTAGGATGAAATCACTAGTATTTCTTTTGATAATGTTGGCTTTGATACACATTCTTTTTTTGTTTCGTTGGTTGACATTATTTGCAACTTTACTAATACGTTGTTGTTGCATATCATGTAGATCGCTTATGGTAGATTCTCTTCAAGTGTGAAAGGTTACCGTAATTTGGACCTTTTTATTCGGCAAGCAAATGGAAAAAAGATTGTTGATCCCAAGCACCAAAATGCTTTATGTTCTCGTTTAAAGGAGGAGATGCTTCACCCTTTTCGAGTGATTATTGTCAACCGAGGCCCTGATACTGAACTCTTGGTTGCTAACCCTGTTGAGTCATCTGGAAAGGGCAGGCCTCGAGTTTTTTACGATGTTACGTTGGCGCTTAAAATGCTAAGGATATGCATTTTCTCGGTAAGGATTTACGTTGGGGTGTCTTGTTTCTTTTTCTTAGCTTAATGCTTATGTTAACATGCATGAATATGTTTTCGTCCCTGTTGCCGTAGGCTGAAATTGGAAGACAGTCGACTAGTGATCGGCAGTGGGAAGTGTACAGATTTCTTTTGGATGACAGCCATGAATTTCCTTTAACGAGCAATCGAGCTCGAGATCAGCTTGTGGACAGAGTAAGAAGAATATTGATGGGATGGTGAGGCTGATGGAATACTTCGATGACAGATGGATGGATGGTTTTTCTCTGGCTGTATGTTTCTCGACACTCCGATCCTGTTGTAGCATATATCACACAACTCCTTGTTGCAAACCAATCGATCCTGAAACATGTTCGGAAGCAAAAGTTGTGTGAGATTGCCGTCTGCTGTAGCCTCTCTTTCTTCTGGGGTTCTTGAAACTGTAACGTTACCCTCTTTTAATGTATAAATAGCGGCCCAAAAGACTCTAAAATATAGGATTCCAAATCTGGTTTGGAAAATAAGTATTGCGCTGAGTTCTTGTAAGAGGAAGGTTGAAAAATAAGTATTGCGCTGAGTTCTTGTAAATTATAAAGTCAGTATTGTCTCCCACAATGTTTATATAAAAACATGATTAGTACAAAAAATATCTTTAGAAATATATTTTGTTTTGCATTAAACAAAAATTAGTTGTTTTATTCAAATGCGTGGGACATTCTCCTCTCTATCCCCAAATATACAATTATTCTATTAAACCAATGCACCATCTACACAGTTTATTCAAGCAATACATTATGAGTGAAAAAATATTTTATATAAAATTTTATTTAGCAGATAAATATAAAGAGAGTAATAAAACAATTTATATTTAAATCTATTCGTTCACGTAATTTTTTGTTCAACGTTTTGCTTCAAAAATCGAAGTGGTCTATAGCTCAATGGGTAGAGCATTTAACCGTACATTGGTTATAATCCGATTGAGCTCTTTTTCCTAATTTTCTTTCTAACCCCCTCTTTTATTTTTAAAATCAAACTTTTTACGAGAGCAATCAAATGGGTCCATAGCACAGTGGTATAGTTAGGGCGTAAACGAGTTGAGTTGAGTTCGAATATTATTAAGTTCGACTTAATTTAAAGACTGTAAGATTAAACTTGATTCGATTCAAAAATTAATTAATTTGATATTGTCAAGTTCGACTCGAACTTGAACTAAAAAATTGAATATTGACTCAGCTCGAAAGCTTGCAAGCTTAAAATTTTCAAGCTCGGTTCGAAATATTCTCAAACTTCAGCTTGACTGAAGCTCAAACTCAAGCTCGAACTTGAATTTTAAGTATGCGAAAGCCTTATATTGTATTTTTTATTAAAAAAATATAAATGTTAATAATATTAATAATTTAATTTAAAAAATCTAAATAATATTCTTTCGAGCTGCCACGAACATTTTTAGTTAAATATCAAGTAACTCGCTTCGACTCGTTAATAATTCGAGCGGAGTTCATTCGATTATATAGTTGATCAAATTTTGACTGAATCAATTTCGAATAGCTCGTGATATATATCGTCTTATTTACAATCTTAGATAAAACATTTGATTGCAGATCCATAGGTCACCGACTCGAACTCAACTTGAGCCTTTTTTTCTAGTTTTCATTCTAACCCTCTTTTATTTCTTTATTTTTGAAATCTAAACTTTTTACAAGATCAATCAAATGGGTTCATATCTCAGTGGCAGAGCATTTGACTGCAGATCAAGAGGTCATTGGTTTGAACCCGGTTGGGCTCTTATTTTCTTTCTAACGTCTTTAATTGTTTTATTTTGAAATTTGAAACATTTACAAGAATAATCAAATGGGTCTATAGCTCAGTGGTAGAGCATTTGACTGCAGATCAAGAGGTCACCGGTTCAAACCCGGTTGGGCCTTAGTATTTTATTCTTTTATATAAATTTTATTTTTAAAATTTAAACTATTTACAGTATATTAGAGCAGGGGATCGAAGTCGGTTGAGGTTTTGTTTAGATTTTCCTTTTTTTCTTATCTCTTCCCTCATGTGAACCTAACGATTCATATTTTGTTATTCTTCACCGAAAGGGATATGTATTTTGTTATCTCCTCTATTCGTATTGCTACTAATTCTACTTGTCAAACCATTGACGCCTACAAGAGAAAACAGCAAATCTTTCTTTTGAACCAAAAATCATGTGTTAAGCTAATTCACTCAAGAATATAATTGGAAAATGAGAACCAACAATCCATAGCCATCTACCCCTAACAATTCTTTCGGTTTTATTTTTCTCTAAACTATAAATATTATCTTTTTAATAGTATTAAGTGATTACAAGTAAGTACTTATTGAGAATTTTCTTAATCAATTAACAACGTACATACCCTACAGATGCAGCTGCTCGAACCCAAGACCAAACAATTTTCTCTTCTACCATTAAGATAACTTAAACAGTTCTAAATATTATTTTATTAGGTTAACACAAATGATATAGATATTGATATAATATCAATAAATCAAATAAAAACTAAATGTACTGTGAAAGTCAAGCATCCCACTACCATAAGCTGTCCCATTTAGTCAAGGATGCCTTGTCTCAAAGCCATAAATCATCTGGGCTTGTTCAAATGCGGGTAGTATGAAAGTCATATAACCCCTAAAGTACCAATTACTTTATTACTTTTATGTCTTCTATTTGGCCATTTAAAAGGTTACTTAAATGTAATTTTGAAAATATTAACAAACATCAATATTTGTGTCTCATTTTCTATCCTTCAATATCTTTTAAAAAAATAAAAGCATTTAACTTTAAAAATGTTTTTGTTATTGTAACTCTTTTATGAGATATAATTGATGAAAGTCTTAACCAATTAAAATCATGTGTCTAATAAATATAGGGTGGTAAAACAATATGTATATCTAATCCAATCAAATTAGATTGTAGTTTTTATATTTCGAATTAAATTCAAATTTAGAGAAAAACAACTTTGATAGGGAATAATTATAAAATTATATATTTTGATAACTATTAAAAACTTAATGGTGATGTTATTGTGCCACCACAAGGTAATGTCATGTCATCGTTGAAAAAATAAAAAAAAAACATCATGTTACAATTCTGTTAATCTTTTAACGGCGGGATACCAAATTGAAACCTAAACTAAACGTTAGATATGATTTAAAAAAAAATAAAATCAGAGTACCAAAACAAAATAAAAGTAATAGTTTAAGTAATAAATATATAGTTTACCCTAAATTTAAATCTACATCTATTAATATCAAGGGTAAAGTACACAAATGGTCCCCTAACATATTATATTTCTTTATTTAGTCCCCCAACAAATAAAAGCTACAAAATAGTTCCTCGACTATATGGAGTTACATTGTTGAGACCCTCGACTATTAAAAGTTACAAAGTAGACATGCGACTATTCATTATGTTCTAACCTCGTCCTTGTCTATTAAAAAATTAACATCAGTCTTAGCTGGACGTTAACCTGTTGACTGAGATATGATAAAATCTGATCTTATATTCTCAAACGACAATCATATCTCAATCAACATGTTAATGTCTAGCTCAGACGCCTGTTAAATTTTTTAACAAAAAAAAGACAAGTTTGGAACAAAATGAATAATCGATTGATCATTTTGTAGCTTTTAATAACCGATGACTCAACAAAGCAATATCCTATAACCAGGGGACCATTTGTGAATTTGACCCTAAAATCAATTCATGTGTTTAGTCCTCGCATGACAAGATTAATTAAATGTTGATAATCACTGTTGCATGCTTCCCATACTAGATATTACATAAATCGTTGTATGAGAATAAATATTACAAATCAAAGTATGAAAGAAAAATGATACTTAATATCTAATAACACCGATTGAAATTATATATATATTTTAAATGAATTTAGTCCAAAATGAAACCAAATGCAACTATTTTTCCCTAATAAATTTCAGCAATTACAATTGGAAATATAGTATATGTAAAGGGATAAAAGTATGGCAATGCTTTTGCATTTACATATTATTTAAAATTTTCTAGCGATGATTGTTCTTCCTTTGTCACTGTCTCGGTAAATGAGATGGGAACCAAGCAAAGTCCTCTACTTCTTAGATCTTGTTGCTTCTTTCCAATTTCCTGCTAAATAAATGCAATTTTAAGATTTCGATTACGCATATTACAATGAAAAACTAAACCCAAAAATAAATTTACAAAAGAGCATGTTGAATTATGGTTTTGGTCCCTCTACTACTTCAAATATTTGACAGTGTTTAAGAATATGACCTAATTTATACATTGTTGAAATAATTTACCTGTGGATGAATAGATCTGAGACTCTTGTATGAACTGCTCAGCATCTGAAAGAAATTAAAAAACAATATTATGGAATTTGAGACATGATGAAGCAATTAAAGAGTTAAATTAATATACCTGAATTTGTTCTTGGAGAAGTTTGATATAAAGAGAAGCCTCTTGAAGGACTGAAGCCGTATCTGTCTGCAGTAATTTATCAAACCAGACTCACATAAAATATATTTAAACAAAGGGTAAACTACACGTGTAGTACCTAAACTATCACTTTTATTTAATTTTAGTACCGAAACTTTATTTTTTCAAAACCGTGCCTTTAGGTTTCAATTTGGTACCCGATGTTAAAAACTTAACTATACCAATGACGTGGACTTTACATCACAAGACGCGTGGAATACCGGAAAATGGAAAATAATTCCACGCCATTGATGTCGCTAAGTTTTTAATGACAGGTACAAAACATTAGGTACTAAAACGGAACAAAAGTGATAGTTTAGATACTAAACATATAATTTACCCTTAAATAATTGTTAATTTATATATGCATGAATGTTTTGAAGTAGTTAAGATGAAAGTTATACTTTTCCATAGGGGGAAACCAACTTTTGAAGAGTTGTGATTTTGTCACTTAGCTTCTGGCTTCTCCTTACTGGCATATTCAACTAAAACCCCAAAAAGAACCATTTTGATTATATTAATTGTTTAATGTGTTTAATTAAAAACTGGAAATTCCCATACCCTGAAATGTTTGATTTCTGCTAATTCTTGCATGGTTTGATGAGATATCTGTTGTTCAAAGGAGGACAACTTCTTTCTCTTGTTCTTATTCCTCTCATCCATTCCATTAATCGGCTCACCGTTGATCTCGTGTTTCCTTCCATTTTGAAAGTTCTGAGTGTTTCCCTGATCAAAATAAAAATCTTATTTTGTGTTCAATATTTTTGACTTACCTAAATTCAATAATATATTGAATTTTACTTATTCATGTTCGGTTCGATCTGAAATATGAATCTTGAAAGAGCTCACGTACCGATTCAAAATGTGGAATCACTATAGATTGCTGGAAATTGTGGTCAAATTTGGAGCTACCATACTGATAACCTAACACCAAACAAAGCATTTGGGTTCGAAAATTTCTAAAAGTGGTACAGGTGTGACAAATACATGAACCAAACCTGGTAAGAAATTAGAGTTGAAGTGGGATTGGTAAGGAATATCAAAGGCCCCATATCTTATTTGGTTGTCATTGTCCAAGATTTTGGGTTCCATAGAAAAGGCATCTCCATCCCCATTCCTGCAAAAAAAAAAAAGAGTTGAAAAAGAAGCATCAAAATTAGGGTTTTTCTTCAATATACATATAAGTTCTTGACCTGCAAGAAAAAAGTAATTAACTTTGATTTTGTATAACTTGACCTACCATCCTTTTATATTCTTTTTGGCAATTAAAGATAGCCATTCATGATTCATCAATGAACTCCCCGACAAAAGACGAGGTATCTTTCAAGTACTCTTTTTAATGGTTAATTGAATTTTGAGCTAAATTCAGGCCACAGGAAAGCATATAATATATATATCAAATCGAGTTTTCAAGTATTTTGTGAGTTAGTTAGAAATGGACAATTGGTATGTAAATGATTCCTTTTTATAAGGTATTCATATGGAATATATTTGTATTCGACACATTCATATCCAAAACTAATTCTCTAGTTTAAATAACTTTGTATTCTGTAGAATAGATTATTAATACAACTGATTTATTGCATAATATAACTCTGAGTTAGGACAGAACATATACCCTTTGCTTTCCATCTGCAAAAGGACATCCAAATAAGGCATCTGAACTTCATTGTTTCCTGCGACCAAAAAAACCCAGAAAAGTTAACAATGGTATACATATACGTACACATATGCATATAGGGTATAGATTTTAGAATAATGATTATACCAGAGTTGTACAAGCGTGATGAAAATGGCGAAAGATGAGCTTTCCTCATGATCTTCACTGCCCAAAAGACCAGAAGCTGGAAACTCAAAAGCCTTCCCCCCAAAGCCTTCGAGCCTGTACTTCAACTCAGTGAGTCAACTTCATTGAGAAAATCTCATAAATTCACAAACATTATATATACATATAGCATGATCTTTTATGAAGAACACTTCAAATTAAACCAACAAAAAGGCCATAAAATTACAGAAAAGAAAGGAGAAACACCAGAAAACTGAGACAGAACCTCTGACCTCTGTTCTGAGGCGGCCGGCGGCCAAATGAAAAAAAGGGTTAAACCCTTGCTTGGTTTGAGCAAATTTGTGAAAGGGGATTGATTTAAATCAAAGCTATATAGTAAGATTTTCTGAATGGGTTTTTCTAATTCTATTGAGTGTAGGAACTGTTCATTTCCTTTCATAGAGACGAGTGAGGTTGCAGCTTATTTATTGCATGAAAATTATATGAAACGTCTTCTGACTCATCAAAACCCCTTATATTTTATATATTTACAGTAATAGGGTAGCCTTTACTATATGACTTTTGATCCGTTTGATTTCGCTTTCACGTAAAATTTTGACAAATCAGAATTTAATTATCATAATCATGATTAAATTATTTAAAAAAATGTTACAAGTCAAAGTTTAAAGTTTGTGCGATCAGTTTTGGCTAGGGGTGTGCAAAATTACCCGACCCAGGTTATTCGATCCGAATAAAAAAATCGGGTAATTTTTTAAAAAAATATCTGACCGGTCGGGCCGAATCATAAAAATTGATTTTTTTCGGGTACCGGTTACCCATGTACCCGGTTAAGTTTGGTGAAATTTCTATTGGCTTTTGCTTTGAGTTTGGTGAAATTTCATGGCTTGGGTCAAAATGGGTTTCTTTTAATTTGATTGAATTTATAAATATATCCCGTTTTTTTTAGAATTGTATGAGATAGAGCTTTGCTGGTTTAAATTCTTTACAAGTTTGAAGTTTTCCTGTTATCGATTTAACATATCTTGATGGTATTCCTTTATAGGGTTTTGATGTTCCTTTTTGGAAGAAAATCCTGGGGATGAAGCTAACAGGTGGGGTTTCTTTTGTGTTTTTTCCCCCTTGACAATGATCCCATTTGCGTTCAGCCACAGTTAATCCTTACGATTATGATTTTGGGAGCAGGTGGAAAGCTAGATGATATCACTGTGATTCTAGCAATGCTGGGAATTTGGTTATCCCTATTAAGTATGAACTATGTTCCAAAATGCATCTGTTAGGTTTTTGTTTCAATCAGTTTCTGATAAAATTTTAGTGTTGGTTTAATAATTTGTGTCTTTTTTTATTTAATATTTTGAAGAAGAAAAATTCGGGTATTCGGGTGTCCGCAAAATCTGGGTACCCGGAACATCCGGGTCAGGACACGGGCCGAGAAATCACTGACCCAAATGTTTCGGGTATCCAAAAATCCGGGTACCCGAATTTGCACAACCCTAGTTTTGGCCATGGACAGCGTTACTAAAAATTTATGTCGGATTTAGATATATTTTTAAAGTTGACACATATATATATTAATAATATAATTTTTTTTATTGTAAGAAGTAGGCATAAATAAAATTTTAAGATGGATATTATCAATAAAATAAACAACTAATATAAAAAAATTTAGATTATAAGATAGAAAAGTACCTAACCTCAAATCCACATGCATCCATCACTTACATAAAATAATCAAAACTATATGCAATTTTAACTTATTTAGTTTTTTTTTTTTATTATTTACAGAACATTACATAAGAACTATAAAAGGAATATAAAAATTTAGTAAAAATTATGATTTTCATAATAAATAATATGTTTGTGTAAAATTTTAATTAATAATGCAAAGACAAAAGTAGTTGTTTGAAACAATATATATATGATTCAAAAGGAATACTTTAAAGAAAAAGGATTAAAACTCATAAAGGAAACTGGTTTAACTTAGTTTTCAATCCTTATCATTTGCTTAAAATGGAGGAATAATATATAGTTTTATTTTGCTTTAATTGGGAATGTCGTAACCAGTTTTCGCCCGGACACGAATTTTTTATTTGGCGGGGAAAATAATGTGGATACAAAATAATTAAAAAAATGGATTGGGAGTCGCCATCGGCCTTTTGGGTCAGGTAGGTCGAATACCTAAAAATTACCTTTTAAAAGAGTTTTTTAAGAAAACATCAGTTAAAAGATAAACTGATCAACTAATTTGAGTTTAACCAAAAATTCGTTCTTTTTAGAAATAAAAAGGGATTCGTGTTCGATTACGTTTAGGGAATGATTAGCACCCCTACAACGCCCAAAATTGGTGCTTATTAATTATAAATTGTCTCTATTATTGGAAATTTAAAAGTTTAAAAATATATTTATTCCATAATTCTGTTAAGTTTATTAATATAATTTTAAGATAATATATTAATATATATATATTTTATTAAACAAGATATTTATTTATTTAGAAATATCAGAAAATGGCTTCTAGGTGCTTTAAGACAGCTCCTTTCTTAATTTTGAATAAATTTTAATAGAAAAAAAATATAAAAACAGATTTATATATGAAAATATTTATTTTTTTATTTAAAAATATCAGAAAATGGACATCCAGATGTTTTAAGACTGTCCTTTCTTAATATTGATAAATATATATTAAAATATGATTATTTTTCTTAAAAGTAATTTATAAAATTAAATTTATAAATATGATTTTAATAGGAAATAAAATAAAATAAATAAATACTACTTATTATATATTTATATGACTAACTAATAATAACATAATAATTAAAGTAATAATTTAAACTTATTGAAATTGAAATAATAATAATAATATAAATTAAATTGCAATTAAATAGTGACTGAAATAAAAAAAATTAAAACTATAATATCATATTCATAAATAAAATAATAACAGAATTAATTAATGACTAAAATGAAATAAAATATAAATTAGCATGCAAAAAATCGAAATAAAATAAAGAAATAACATTGGTGACCAAAATAAAAAAATGCGTAAAATAGAATGGTTTATGGGTGATTAACCCACTAATTTGTGATTTAAATAAATAAATGGTTAAAGTACATGGATTTTAGCGTGATTTACCCCGCAAATTAAACTAAACTCCTTAGTGACCAAAACGCAGGACGCAGAAAACATAGGAACTTAAACATAATTTAACCTTAAAAACAGTGACCGAAATGTAAAACTCGGTATAAACTAGAGTGACTTAAAAGTAAATAACCCAAAACCTAAGCTACATATATATATATTTTTCTCTATTTGGCTAACCTAGCCACTCTTCTTCATCTTTTCTCTCAGAGAGAGAAGCTCAATCTTCTCCTTCTTCCTCTTTCATAACCGACCGATGGCCATAAAACCCCCACACCTCGCCGCAGGCCACCGTAAATCGGTGGTCAAATACTCTTCCAATCATCCCTTACACAAAACCCGAACCTAAAATTTATCCCTAAAAAATTTTAAATCTCGATTTGGGATTTAAACTACCAAAATCCAGGCCTAACAACTCAAGCTTTATTTCCCAATGCTTTAATCGGCGTTTCTCCGGTAATCTAGACTCCGACGATGAACCCTTGGCACCGGTACAACTCACTCTTCTTTACTATTTTTTTAATTTATTAACCTATTGTTTTTTTATTTCGAAAAAAATAAAATACAAATAAAAGTAAAATACAAATCTGAAAAATAAAAACCTTTGTTGTTTTCTGATTTTTTTCTTTGTATTAATGCTTGATCTCCTGTTTTTTTTACAATCTCTGTGTGTCCTCCCTCCCCTTTACACTGTAATTTTTATGGGTTATATATTAACCCATTTACATGCTTAAAACAAAAGTAATGATTGTTGTTTGTTTGGTGGTAAGCTGTAGGAGGGACAACTGGGTTACTTGCTGAAACGTGGAGGGACAGCTGGTTTAGTGGAAGCTGTTGAAGAGTTGTTCTGGTGGAGGGGATGCTATCGTTGGTTGCTGGAAGGTGCTGGAAATGCACGTGGAGGGGCTGCTGTTGTTGGTTGCTGGATAGGGAAGGTAAAAATGGTGATTACAACTGCCCCTCTTTGCTCGTTGTTGTGGAACATGAATGAAGCAAAGACAAAAAACACCATTTTTAGCTTGAATTGTCCAAACTTTTGAGCTATAAGTTCTTCGTATTATGAAATCTTCTGCTGGGAATGACGATCCACCTCCTTCTGTGATGGATTTGACAAAAGGTTAAACAATATTGATGTTGATATATTTCTCTCTATGACGAGTCGAACAAAAGGTTGAATAAGTTCTTCCCATTATGCACTTCTTCTTCTTCTTCAGATGAGTTCTTCCTATTATGAACTTCTTCTGGAAATGTTGATCCTTAAAAGAGGTGTTGATTCAACTTCATATGTGATGAATTAAGATAAGGTCGAACAAGTTCTTCTCATTATGAACTTCTTCTTCCTCTCAAGATGAGTTCTTCTCATTATGAACTTATTCTTCTTCTTTAGATGAGTTTTTCTCATTATGAATTTCTTCTTCCTTTTTCAGATGAGTTCTTCTCATTATGAACTCTTCCACTGGGGATGACAATTCATCTCCTTCTGTGATGTAATCTAGCAAAAAGTTTGAACAAGTTCTTCTAATTATGAACTTCTTCTTCGTCAGATGAGTTTTTCTCATTATGAACTTCTTCTAGAAATGCTGATCATTGAAGGAGGTGTCATTGATTCAACTTTATATGTGATAAATTAAGGCAAGGTTGAACAAATTCTTCTCATTATGAATTTCTTCTCCTTCTTCTGATGAGTTCTTCTCATTATGAACATTTATGGAAATGTTGATGTTGATCTATCTCATTCTGTGATAAAGTCAAACAAAAGGTTGAACAAGCTCTTCTCATTATGAACTTCTTCTTCCTTCTTCAGATGAGTTCTTCTCATTATGAACTTTCTCTGAAAAAATTGATGCTGATCTATCTCCTTCTGTGATAGAGTCATGCAAAAGGTTGAACAAGCTCTTCTCATTATGAACTTCTTCTTCCTCTCAAGATGAGTTC